AGGAGATAAAGTTGATGAAAGAGACAAAAATGGATAAGAATATTTATCAGATTAAAAGATTAAACAAAGATAAGAAAAATAAACTTGGATATTTTAAGCAGCAATCACGGATTTCTCTTTTTCAATTATACAAAGATAAGAAAATAAAATAATTGAATTGAAAAGAAAGTGGCAAAAGCCAACTAGATTTATTTTAAAAAATTAGTCATTTGGTATGGTTGGTATGGTAAATATTCATAATAATAAACTTAATTAATAAATATGATTCACACACACACACACACACACAGAAAATGACAAGGAAAATAAAATTAACCACTGAAATTATAAAAAAGTTAAAAGAAGAAAACAAAACCACTATTCAAGTAGTTGACCGCACCCCTCCATTAAGCAAGTCGTTAGCGAATATAAACCAAAAATATTGGGATAAGATTGCAATTAATGAGGAATGAGGAGGGATAGATACAAAGGATAAAAAAAAATTAAGATCTGGAATTTTTCAGAGAATATTAAAAGATGGTAAATTATTCCACTATGTTAATCCTAACGCCATACGAGATAAAAATGACTGCCGATTTATTTCGCCGGCCATGCTCGCAGATTTCCAAAAGATTTTTGACGGAGAAAAGCAAATAAAAGAAAGAATTAATTTCGTTAGAGATAAGTTAAAAAAAGTTAAAGACCTAAACATTGATGATATAATTAGACCAGATGGTTATGGAGGATGAGAACTTATTGCTGACATTATTGAGGAGAGACGACTATTAGACCAGAACGGTCGCCCAGCCAGCCCCGAAGCATTCAAATTTCTCCAAGACACCATTGCAGGCGAAGTAAAGGTGATTTATGAACCGGGAGAGTATGATTTAGCCGAATTTGAAGGAGTGGAAAATTTGGCAGACGCGAATATTCAAGCAAAAGTGACCGACATTAATTCCCAACCGAAAGAAAAAGAAAATAATTCGTCAGAGACAAACGAGAATAATAATGACGAAGAGCGAACTAACGAGCAACATTCGAGTAATGGTTCTAATTCGCTGCAAGAAATTGAAATCACTCTCTCAATTGATACAGGAAAACGCTCAGAAATAGGAGGAGTGCCGGTTTACCGCACAGAAAAAATGAAAACTCGTTGGGAATTTCCTTTGCCCATCAAAATTACCGGGAATAAAGGTAAATGATGGAGAAGCAATTGAGACCATGCGGATTATACCATTGAACCAATTAACATTACGAGCCTGAATGGTGATCGAAACTTGGAAATTGACATGCTAACTCTCCGTTTTCGCACTTGGGAAGATGGAAATCAACGGGGACGACCAAACGCAGATCAATATGTATTGGCAGAAATTCCGAACTTTGTGGATGAAACCAACGCCGATTGGTTTGGTGATAGAAAAGAAGTAAAAAAAATACCCGACCGGTTGCTTGCGGTGGGCGACCAAATCCAACTCGAATTAGCCGCCAAAAGCGAAAAATCAATATCATCATCAAGAAAAGCCTCTAATTGACAATTACGAGGTAGTCACGATAGTAATATTTTCATCCTAGAAGTTTTTGATAATTATACGCTGAAAATGGCCGATGGTCGTTCATTTCGGTTTTCCGAAAATAATTTAGCGGCTCTCATTAAAAAAGGACAAGACACAAAAGTCTATAGCAGACATAAAGGGGCTCATTATATATTGTTAACAGGTATATTGAGCGAAATTGCCAAAAGTGGTGAAACTCCCACCGAGGAGCAAGTTGCGACTATTTCTGAATTAAAAAACGAACAATGATCAGTCTTTAAAAGTTGAAAGTTAAAAGAATATTTTGCCGAGGAAGAGGAACGAAAAAAAGTGGGAGGAATATTTAACTAAATTAGAAGAAGACTCGCCGACTGCGTGAATAAAAGGGCAAGAAAAGGCGGTTGAGGTTTTGGAAAGTTTGGCCGGAAATGGCTATCAACCGGACGATAATCTGCGGTTTGAATTGGTTACTAATCACGGAAAGAGACCAGAAAGTTCCAATGCCGAAGCAAATGCCGAAAATCAAGTAAAAATCTTTTACCGAACCGAAGAAGGAAGAGAATTTGACACTGAGATTTGAAAAAAAACCCGAGCGAATTATTATTCCTACCAGTGCCAAGGCATCGTCCAAGAAATAGAAAACAAAATTAGGGAAGTCGGACCCGGCGAATATCCGCAGTGGCCGGAAAAAATAAACGAGATAATTGGTGTTCTGCAACCCCAACAGGAGGGAATGACTACCGAGCAGTGAATTGAGGAGTTTGTTGCTTTGATAGCGGATGACGGACTAGCCGAAAAAGCCATTGACAATATTCATAAAATAGCCGTTAACGAACGGGCTATTTACCGCTC